AGTATATTGTGATCACACAGAATATATGCATTAGTAGGCAAATGTGTTATCCACATGCTGGCTGGGACTATTTTTAGTGGTTTGACTGGACTGAAAATATTCAAGCTGCAACATAAAACTGGCTTCTTTATTGAAGGAGTAATTCAGTAAGGGCCTATGAATGCTACAAAATTTCCCTTTTTGGGGTAGGGTCACAGGCAAAGTCCTCTCTGTCAAAGATGTTACACAACATCAAATGTGTTTGTAAATACATTAAAGCAGCATGACCAGGATGGACAGATTTAGAGATGAGTATATTAAAGAGCAGATTTGGCAATTTGGAGACGAAGTTAGAGAAGTAAGGTAGAGAAGGTTTGGACGTGCATAGGAGAGATAGATGATATATTGGACAAAGTTTGTTGACGGTTGAGACAGTAGACAGGAAGAAAAGAGGAAAATTCATTGACCACAGAGAAAATTCATGGATATAGTGGAGGAGGGGAAAGGTTGATGTGACAGAGGACGATGCTAGGGGTAAAGTGAGATGAAGGCAGACGATCCGCTGTGGAGACCCCTAAATGGAACAGCCGACAGAAAAAAAACTTGAAAGAAAACGTGTTGAGACGCAGAAAACGGCAATCAAACAACACCACCACGTAGCCGACACAGTAACTGTGATCTTCGCCTTTCCTACCTCGTCCATTGTGAGGTTTCTGTAGTTGAAGTTGCTGCTGCATCGCTGGAAACAGATTTCAGTCATTCGGTTGTAAACCAGAAGAAAATCCCGCAGCTGAAAAACATACACTCACACTCATCATCCAGCCGTGTTGCTGATTGGATTATAAAGCAGTGACTTAAAGTGACTTACGTTTCTCAGCTGTTGGTCAGGATCCATCATGGAAATTTGTCTACTTCTAAGCTAATGTGTTAGCATGAGCGGTGATCAGCTGCGGTACTGAACAAATGATCCCACTTTTAGATTGTCTGGGTTGGGTGACGGTACAAATCGACAAGATAAAAGTCACATATAGGCTTTAACAACGGAATATTCGCATTTGAAATGAGCGCACCTGAATAATTCGTAACAACTGCATGACATTCACATGCACGCTGCCATGTTGGTTACGAAGATCGTCTCCGCCCATCGGAGGCTTCACTACGTAGTCTGTGAAAAAAAAAGTTTCCATTTCCGGCTGGTTAGAAAAAAAGTGAAAGATAACATGTTTATATTTTATTTTTTAAATTTTTGTTATACATTATTATATTTGGTGTAAATTATCTACCATCATCTCTTTGCCTGTTTGCTACTGTATTTTACTAGCATAGTAGCATTGGGTTGCTGTCTGAAAGTTTATGGTTTATTCAGGTTTGTGCAGGTAACCAAGGTCGTAACCAAACGACGCTATTTAAACATAATAACAGAAATGAGTTGTTGTACCGTAGCGAGCTTCCTGTCATAGTTTGAGAAAAACAGCCGAGAAGCTAGCCAGTCTCTACAGGTAGGCCGCAAGTGGATAATATGACCCTTCACTGCCTCAGTATAGAACAAACCACTTTGTTACAATTTAGTTTTTCTCTCTAAAGAACTAGTGGTTGGTACTCATTACTTAAATTAGTACTAGTAATCACTACTTAAAAATATAGTATAACTTAACATCCTTTAAAAAGAACAAATCAAAAAAAAAAAAAAAAAATCTCCAGTGGCACTTATTACTTAAAAATACTGACCCTTCAATTTGTTTCTTTCTTTTAAGGTCTCTGGTTGCTACTCCTTTGTGCAACTGTATCTGCTGGTAAGTACTTTATGTACTGAAAATAACATCTTAGATTGTTATCAATTACATATGGCAGGAGTTACAAATGTTAGAATTTAAGCATAATTTGTGTATTATGAGGTTGAAATACTACAATCTGAGTATATCTTCTGTTGTTTATAATACAAAATAAGGTTATGTTCTTTGAAAACAGTATACTTGGCCTCCCCCTGTAACTGTCTGAGTAGCAAAATTATTATTAAAGATAAAAAAAAAATAACACGTTCATAATAATATTGATTATCCATGATCGCAACCTTTGTCCGTTGTAACCATTGCCAAATAAATTTAGATGACTAATAGCAGTTTTACAAGGAGGTGGAACAGATTAGAAAACCCACTTACAGTTAAGTCCATAGGTTTTTGAACAAAGTACTTTTTTTGGTAATGTTGCCTTTGTCCATCACCACAGTGGGTTTTAAATCAAACAATCAAGATGTGATTACATTGAGGTGCTAACTTTTAGCTTTAATATAAGTGCTTTAACAAAAGTATTGTGTTAATTGTTTTAAAATTGCATGTATTTTTGTACATAATCCCCCATTTTCAGAGGCTCAAAAGTATTTCGTAATTGAACAAGCTAACATAATTAAAAACATTATGGCTAGTTTTTAATACTAGGATGGATGTCAACATTTACCTGACGTCCAGAACCCATGGACATCACCAAATGCTGCCTTTTCTGTATTAAGATGTCCAGCAATAACCTTTCCCGAAGTCACCTTCAGTGGTGTGCTTTGGATCGTGAGCTGTATGTCTCTACTGAACTATTCTATTGAATGTCACACTTACTTTAACAGTTGTTTGAAACGCACTATAGAAGTTTAACGCACAATTCACAAGCTGCAGTGTAACCCACTTTATATTTCATATCTGTCATGTAATCTTTGTTTCATCTCATCCCCCCTCCTCTCGCTCTCTTCGCACACATACATGAAACAAATAAGCAACTTAAAAATAACACCTGTTCCAATTACTGCAGGTCACATGTGGCATCATAAGCAAACTGTACAATGATAGCAATCTTACAAAGAAACCACATGCCCGACTACAAGCTGAAAGAGAATTGTTGCATTGCTTTTTCATGGCTGAAATTAACCCTTTAAAGCTTGAGCTGTGAAACAATTGGCAGAAAATTCAAATTTCTTGAAAACAGAGAGTTTATTGAGCCATCTGACAAATTTGTTTATAAATTATTTACATTTTAATTTCCATATATGGTGTTTAATTTGTATTGTATTTGCTACATCTGGCATTTCAGTTTAAAAAGGCACAAAAAAACTGTATGTATCAAATACGATACACTAGGCATTAAGGGGTTGTGATTATGCAACCACAAATTTGTACTGTGAATTTGAAAGCCAATGTCATATCTTAATTACTATTAATTAATTTATTTTACTTTTCTTTTTTTTCATTTTATTTTTTTTAACTAAAAAATTAATCTTCTTTTGTATTTTCTGTCTTCTCACAGCCACATCACGCAATTTTGCAGATTTTTGCTGAGCCTTGCTGAAAGACAGATAAATACCTTTGAAAATGTACCTCAAGGAAATTTTCTTACCACTTGATCAAAGTTAAGTCAGCAGTGAAGCACGGTTCTCTGCAGGGTCCCCAAAATGGGTGTCAGCTTGGCTGAGCCATTCTTGTGGACTGCATAATAATTTAAATGCTCAAATCACTATTATGAAGACGTTACGTAGTTGAATGATTTCCTGCATTGTCAACGTCCCTTTAATACTTTACTGTAACCCAGTCATAAACTTTGGTACTTGGTGTGTATGTTTACTCTAAGAGCATAGTATAAAACAGTACAATTTCCTTTGTCTATGTAAAGATAAGTGTGTTTCCTTTTGCTTCTCATCATGTCATATTAGATTACAGAACACATTAAAAGCTTTATCTCTTTTTTCAATTACACGATTGAGATAGATCTAAAAGCTAAGTTGTCAATTCATACTTATTTATAGAGTAACTTAGGAAATGCCCAGTGCAAATCAACTTAATAGGCTACAGTATAAGATTAATACCCATATTTAAATTATAAACTGCTCCTAATTACAACTGATTCTTTATAGAAGCGTGACTTTATAATTTTGAAAACATCCTGTATAAATGACTGCCTTTATGTCCTCATACATGACAGTTACTAACGGTGCCTGTTATCCGTGAAAAGTTTTTTTTTTTTGTGACATTCTCATATGTCTGCAAGAGTTGCATCCAAAATGCCCAAGGCCAAAATTTAATCCATAGAGGGGAAGTAGGTCATGGTCAGCTATTGAAAAACTGTCAACAAAGAGTGGGCTGCAGGCTTCTGACTGCTGAGTTCACTCCATAGCTCAATTCCCTCGGCAGATAGCAGGGCAGTAAATTATCCTGCCAAGGGATTACAGTGAGGGAAATAATCATTTAAGCAGACGGCAAATTAGCTCATATGTGCAATAGATTATTAAAGTAACAACCATTGTCATAACCATGACATGTAAAATCCTACATGACATTTACAGCAAAGCAAGGTGCCCAAAGGGAGAACAAAATGTCATCACTTATGTCCCACTTAAAGCTTCCCCCCCCCCTTTTTTGTTTTTACTTCTCTGTTTTTTAAACGTTATCGTCACGTTAATGTTATCTTCACCCTTAGCATTACCGAGAGGCGGTTTCACATATGCTGAGGCATGTCGAGTTTTTCAGTGAAACATTCCCTTTCAGCACATAGCCAGCGCCCACATCGTGGAAAACAAACGTAAGAAATTATTTCTTCACACCTTTCTATGAGACATCTGGTAATATATGATGATGAGACATCAAAACAGTGAGAGTTCTTCCATGGCCTGTGATGATTTGGTGTTTTCCTCATCTTTTGCAATAAACTGAAAAATTTCCACATGGGCCTTGACATCTAAATGTCACGCAAAGAGTTTCCTTTTAGCTTTATTTACATTTATTACACCCTCTGCATGAAAGGTACACTTTTCTTCCTCTGTTGCTCAATGAGGAGACCTCATCTTGTCTGCCTCGGAGAGGAAATTGCTCAACCCTGCAAGCAGTTTGAATATTTTAGATGACGTAGTTTCATTTTACAGCTGTAGTAATAGACAGTAGTTTGGTTTTTTGCACATAAAATAAAATAAAAACCAAAAAGTCTTTTTCAGGTGATATAGATTTCAGTTCAAAACAGTTTGAAACAGTAAAACTTGATATGTTTGTTTAACCGTGCTGGTGACCATCCTGGCTAAAGCTACCAATGAAAGGATCTGTGCAGCTCTGAAAGGTTTCTACTTCTGAAAGCTGTTCACATAAATTCCCATTGTTACACTCTTGTTCATCTTTCATTTCTTCACTCTCTTGATTTCCTCCATCCTCGCGCCTTCGCATACTATTCCAACCAACATTCCTCTCCAGCGTCAGATTCTTTTCTCTTTCCATTTCCTCCGTCTGTTGAGCTATTTGTTGACTGTTGAGGTAGATGCTGCTGTGTGAAACCATGGTGCTGGTGTCTCTGGACGGAAGATGAGCATCCATGTCTGCATCCACCTCCAAGAATGTATTCAGAGGAGGTGTGTGGTGGACTGACAGCTGTTCGGGGAAATGATTTCGTCCCTGTGACTGGCTATGCTGATGGCGATGCTTCTTCTTTCGTTTCTTTGCAGTCTTCAGGTCCAGTGAGGCATAATTCAGGTCATTCTGGAAAGGCTGGTTTCAGACAACACAGACAAAAATAGATTGATTGTAAAATTGATTTCAGGTTTTGCTTCACTCTGCACCGGTTTCTGCATCCTATTTAGTGGCTCCTGTGTATGTTCTCATGTATTTGAGTTTGTCGAGTTTATTTTTAGAAGGCTTCAGGCTTAATTGTGTTCATTGGTTCACAGCTTTATTGACCACAAAGAGTCTCTGGTGTCAGTTGCCTTCCGTTTTGAAAGCACTTCTGTAAGCATCAGTTCAACTGATTTGACTGTTGTATTTTTGCACAAAATGTAAGTATTTAGTTTTAGATTGAGCTGACTTCTTCAGTATAGTCAGATAGTCAGTGTAGACTAATCAGCTGTTATTTTTGGTTACAATTTTATCTTCAGTTATGGAAATAAGGTAAAATGTTTATTGCGCTTTATTCCATTTCGCAATGTCGTTCTTGTCTTTTGTAATAATTTTGGCGCGCCTCTTTACTTCAGAGCAGTACACTCTTAAAAGCATCAGGCAGTAACAGGTTTAGCCAAGATGATGAATAGTCTTTGTTCAAATTCAACAATCACAAGCGCTCAACAAATGAGCGTTTTAAAAGTAAGCGACTAACTGTGTCAAACAGTAATTATTTCGATATTTTTTTCTTTAATTGAGTAGCGGCGACACAGAAGCATAATGTGTCATCCTTTCACATTTTTTAAACGCTATCAGCCGACGCGCTAATTTTACATGACTAACATATTTTTCACATCATCAGCAAATAAAGTAATCAATGAAAGAAGTGTAAGAATGACAGAAGAACTATATACACAAGTTACAAGTGTCATTCACATACATTAGTGTGCAGAATACTGTATGTAACAACAGTACGTCAGTATACTGTATCTGACAACTCAAAGGAACTTCAAAGATCCTGTGAGTTATGCAGTTAATAGAAATTCTGTAAATAAAGATGGAGTTAAATGAACTTTTTATTAATTTATGAGAGTCTTCTTAGGGCATTTCAAAGTCTTTACTGGATCATGTAATAGAAATATGTTAATCCACTAAAAAACACTTGCAGATAGATTTGAATAAACTTATGAACAGCACTTACCTTCTTACTTTCTCTTGTGCGTTGCATGGTCATCATCTCATAGCAACCCTCTGCAGAACCTGAAGTAAAACACAAATAATGTTTTCTTTTATTAACACTATAATGCCCTTTGTATCATATTTGATACATGAGTTTGTGAGACCTCGTCAACATGATCAGTACTTGCCATAATTTCAAAATGTTCTGCACAAAACGTTTTTTTTTCGTCTAAAATTAACATTGTTAACAAAAAGTTAAGTGTATCATTAAATCTATAATAAAAATATATCATACACAACATGATATAGCGAAAAAAAATTGTGGATTTTGTTATAAGGGCTAATAAACATCTCAGTTCCAAAAAATCTGAATTTTCTGGCTATTTTTTGATGGGTTGGGTCTTACAGGGTTAAACATTCGGACGGAATACTAATAACAAGACAACTAAATTATAAGTCAACAATTGGGGGGATGTACAATTAAGGCAAATTTGCACATGTTAATCCATTAAGTTTTAGTCCATATTAAAACATGTTTTCCATGTTTGTTTTTGCCAAAAATGTTTTTGTATAGATCAACAAACCATACACAGTTATACAATAAGGTATACAAGTGTTTCTTAATGCTAATGCACTGATTTTGTCTTGTTTTTTCCGAAACGAGTCAGAAAGCAGACACACTCACTTCTTCTCTCTGTGCTGATGTTGCCATAGATTGGATTTTCCTGTTGCTCATGATGATTGTGGGGATTTTCCCTCTGCTCTTGATGATTAAGGTCATGAAAATAAAGCCCTTCATTGTGTGACAGGCTTCAAAATATGAAAGAACATTTGGACAGTTTGTTTAAACAATGTGATGCTATTTGCATATTGTAATTTTATCAAAAAATAAAATGAAAATACTCCAGTATCTATTACTGTTACTTACAATCAAGTGTTGTCTATTGGACTAAATAATACATTGCCAACAAAATAAATAAACAAACAAATATATATATATTAAAAAACATACGTTTCTTCTTCAGAAGTGTGGGGGCAGCAGGACCCATTTTTTTCTGTGTGAATAAAATATGTTGCAAATTTACAGAAAGTAAAGAGTGTGTTAGAAATAACTGTGAATACATTTAGATTACATATTACCTTACCTCTGCACAAAATAGTTCTTCGCTTGATGCAAAAGATCACATTGAGGCATAAAGAGATCGACAAGGCCACAGATAGCAGCACCACGGCTACGTTTAGAATTTCAACTAAGAGACAAAAACAAAATAACCACTAATATTGAAAAATGACACATTTTAGAGCTCAGTGTTCATATTTTAAACCTATTTATTTGCTTTCGCTGTCATTAATATTACAACCCCCTTTCTATGCATCACAGTATCAAAGAGAAAAAGAAATGATTCTAGCATGTTTTCTAAAAACAATTAGATGCTTTAACATTGTTGGACAAATCCAATCACTGATGGTGAAGAGGAGAATTTTTAAGAAAACTACGACCTTGCATACTTTAAAGCCTGATATGGCTACTTTAAAGTTATTAGCGTCTACAGCTTCGAGTGTAACTATCATGTGTTTCTACAAGCGAAGCGTCGTAGGTTTGCTTTCCAAAAGTAATCTTTCCCTCTCAGTTTTGTTCACAACTAGAAATTATTGACAAAGGCTTTTGCCATGTACCCACAAGCACAACATGCTTAACTACTGTAGACAAAGAACCATACGATTACATACATATATACATAGTCATGATTACTAACTCAGTCAGCCTGGAATTTTGACTTTTATCTTTTGTCCTGCCATAATCATAACATAACTAGAAAAATATTTTTCTAGTATTTGGAAAATAGCAAATTATACAGAATTATACTTAGCGATATACAAAGTATGTGAGATATGAATAATGTTGTGAAATATACATATTATATATATATATATAATAGATATAACACATATGTATAACTTTAAAATTTCTAAAAGGTCTTCAGATCCTACCCATATTCCAGCCGTCTTGAAGAAAACGTGTTCTCTGTCTGATACGACTGCTCTCAGGTTACAGGGCATCACGTTGTTTAATCAGTGAGATGCGCAACACTGTAGTCTATTTTTACCCTCCCTCTGTTACCTCGCTGGTATCACGGTACTTTGAAAACTGAATGTTCTTCAGTTACAAACAGGAAGCGAGGTAACCTCATTCTGAGGCACGCAGTCTCAACACTACAGTGGGATACAGAATAATTTCATATAGATCGCTGTATTATAATATAAACATGACAACTGTTTAGAAACGATAGCAACTTTAATATTGTTTGTCACAGTTATAAACAAATACAGTAAAAAACTATCTACAATAAGAAAGCAGAGAATTTCACACAGACTGGTCTGCTCTCAACGTTAGAGTTAAAAAAATCAAATAAAAATAAAAAAGAAATAAAGAGTCGAAAAATGGTGAAAACCACAATGTGGTCTTGAACAATAAGCTCACATTTACTTATACTGTTCTGTCAGCTGTATGCAAGGGGCATTGTTACGTATGCTATGTATATATCAAGAATTTAAATCTTGCATAGACGTAGCGCTTTGTGGTTTAGCTGTTGTGGTTGGAAAATAAGAAAAGAAAATGCAGTTGTGAAAAGTTTCCCAGAACATCTACATACGTGAGTGTCTGCAGGTCAGATAAACACAAATGTCGATGGCTAAATAAATATAAATATAAATATAAATAAATATAAAGCAGTATCCATTTAAATTGCTTATTAAAACTTAGCAATTCATTAACTCAAAGGATTAAAAAATATATTTAAAAAAAAACATCAGAGAACTTGACTTGTTAATGTTTATGAAACCCGTACTGATTCATATTTTCTTTCATCAAGTGGTTGCTATGTTTCTTTTAGCCATTAAGCCCATGTGGTTTGTGGTTTTAGCCCTGCTTTGTGATCACGATTGTCGCTCTGCGGTACCTGTGGACAACAGGGGTCTTTGATATTAAGACATTTGTAACATTGTTGCATCAACTAAACATACTGAGCTAAATTAGAGAAAATCCTTGGGTTTCTGGGCAGGAAATGCCTCATCACACTAATGAATGAAGTATTACAGCAGAAGCAGCATTCCTTTGAAAGATATGAAGAAACTATAGAAAGTACACCATATAAAGTTCTGTCACTGTGTATGAATTGGTAGTATATAGAGAAAGCAGTACAATATTTGAAACAATGTCACAAGAGAAAAGTAAATAACACAAACACAGTTTAAAAGTCAGTTTAATGAAATTTAATATGCATTCATTTTCAGCTATTGATATATTTGGGTGCATTTTATACAAAAACAAACAAACAACCCCCCCAAAACCTCACAAAGTATATACACAGAGCCACATTTGGAAAATTTCCTGTGACTGGTTTGTAATGAGTAAAAATAACCTCATTCTGCAACTCTTAACATGACCAAGAGAGGGCAAAAATTTGAGTCATTCATATTTGAGTCTCTGTTAAAGAGTTGCACCTCGAAATGGGAAAAGACTCTGTCAGAGTCTTGCTTTGTCTTATTGCTGTATACTTCACTGGAGGTGGAGGGGGCTTGAACGAAGGCGGCGAATCCAGCCTACAAAGACAGAGTCAGAGTGCAAATATTGACTTGTGGCATTGTTAGACAGTTAGTTGAATCCAGAAAGCATGTGGAGGTATGTATTGTATGTCATGTGTGTCTACTGGAAGATTTGATAGATATCAATATTTTTGAGGTCATTGAGGGTCACCCAGTGCACGACCCTGTGCAGGTGTGGAGGACGGTTGAATGCATAGATAGTAAGGGTTTTACCTGGTTTTTATAACTTGTCTTCTAAAAAGAAAGCCAGCTACGGCAATCAATACCAGCACCGGAACAATGATTACCACCAACAACAGATGAATCGGTGCCGTATCTAAGAAGCAGATTGTGAGAAGGGAAAATGTGATTATTTGTACAGCAACAGTTGCAGTTTCTAACATATTGATTGTCTTGCTCTGGTGAAACCAAGCAAAACTTCAACAAATACTGATAATAAATGTAAAGCTACAACGCAGAAACTTTCTGCCTCGAGGCAGAGAAGTGTGTCTTACAATCCTCCCCCTCAGTTTGTCATGCAGCATCCCTAGAAGTAGATGCTCCTCTTAATGAGTTTTCTACCTGGGAAAGGCCTCTAGCCGGAGGCTGAGCAACATATGATGAAGATGCAGATGGTGAAAGCAAAGAAACTCTGGCTTTTATATCTGCTGCTTGCCTGTTTACAAGCAATTTTTTTCCCAACACTGTGACCTTGCCTTGATATTCACAAACAGAAATACTCACTTTGTTGGTAGTCCCCAAAGAAAATGCACCAAATGGTCTAATAGCATCACTAACGAGCTAGAGGCAGACTGGTAATGTATAAAAAAATTCTCACATACTGCGGTTTTAAAACCTTACCCTTATTTTCATTTTCTCCATATTTATCTTCAGATGAAGGTCTGTCAGGACTTTTAAAAATGTTTCCTGTGGTGCTGTATTCTTCTGGCGTTGCTGAGGAAATGCCCTCTGGTTGCTCTGTATGTACCTCAGTCTCATTCCTCGTCTCATCACTGGCCGATTCTTGCGTTGAGGTCAACATTGTGCTAGGATAGCCTGATTCTGTTGTCCTCTGGACAGTCGTATTGAGCAAATCTTGGGTGTGAGAGTGTGTGGTTGGGGATGCTGTGACAGAGATGTGTGTAGAATTTGTAAAAGAGGTTATGTGCTCATCAGCTGTGATTGTAACATTTGTAGTGTTTCGAGCATTTGTAGCAATGAAGGTGGTCCGATCTGTGTGGGTTGAAAGCTCAGGGGTTGGTGATGTTGTAAGGCTGATGCCTGCTGATTCAGTCAAACCCTGTGGTGACACTGTCAAGACAGTGAAAGAAGAAATAATCCTGTTATCAGAATGTACTGTGCAGATTGGTTGTGTCTTCATATTGTAGAAATCTGTAGTCTGTCCATCACATTAGAATCATGCTAGCTTGCATTGCTGTTTACAACATACTTCAATCTATTGGGAAATAAACTTAATTGCTTGCTCGCCAACACTCAAACTTTACGGTCAGAGCCTCGTATTTAATATGAGATATAAAGCTGTGTGTTCAATGTATTTCCCAAATGTAAAGCTATTCATCGAACCTGCATGAAGAGTAGGGATTATAATTATAGTTGACGAAAACTTTAAATTACCCAATGAAGAGTAATACATCATTAAAACACGGCTCATGTTGGCATTCGGGAGAATATGCATAATCAATACAACTAAAATATTTCAAGTATCTAGAGTTTGGAGCCTTGGGCATAGATTTATGAGGTAACGGTGTGGGCATGAATTTGCAATATCAATAGTACAATGTACAGGTGTTTCTTTTTAATTAGAATAGTTTCTCTTCTGAGTGTCAATTTTAATGCTACCGTGCCTACCCTGATGTATATACCCAGAGAGGTTTGATCTCCAATGAGACACAACTGAGATGCCATAGATTGATAATGTACATTTCTATTAAATTTAGTTCAGAGCTACGGGAAATTGTGACCTATTTTGATGTTTTCAGTTCTACATTTGCTGTACTACTCCAATCTGACCAACAGACTGTGCTCTTACCCCATATCACGATTCATAGCTGGTGTTGAGCTACTGTTGTAGTGTGCAGTGCGTTGCGTTTGTGTGTTTGTGCTTGTGGTTTGAAACATAGAATGAAAGAACGGGAAGTAAGTTGTGACGTCTGTGTGGCTTCTGTTTGGTTTTTTTTGTCACGTATTCAAATTCTCATGAGAAGCGTCTACAAAGGATGAAAAAGTAGACAACTGGGGATTATTTTCCTAACTGAGCACAGCCGGCTCACAGCACTCCATCAAACTATTTAACCAGTGGTGGCAGGCAGACCACATGCTGTTTGGGTGTATTGAAATTTAAACTTTTGAATTATGTTTTAGCTGGGTGTATTTCAGTATTCCTTCAAATCCCAATGGACAACTGATTTAAAGCAAATAATTGAGTTTCTTTTTCTTTTTAGTTTTAGTAGTTCCCAATTTATTCCTAGTTCCTTCCACATTCTCATAACATGGCTGGCAGCATCACAATCCTTTGAATCTCTCGCCTTCCCTTCAGCTAATTAAAAATTAAAATTGAGTGAGCTACAGTATAATAACAAAAGTTCAAGTATCAGCTTTCTGGTCCAGTGCAGTTTATTAAGTCATTCAGTCTCTTGGGCCCTCTACTAGATTGCTAATCCAGCCCTCGGGAAATGATGAAATTGAATATGACACAAAGAGGCAAACAGCAGCAATGAACTGAAGACGCTCACCTGTCTTCAAACTTGTGGTTGTCGTTAGCACTGTGACCACAAACTCTTTGCGCACACTTTTGCTTCCTGTGTTGACAGTCAGTGTATAAACCCCTGCATTAGCATCAGTCACCCACCAGAGCTCCAGAGATCCAGTCTCTGACAACAGTTCATCATTCTGGGGCAAAGCATGATAATGTAGCACATAAAAAACTTTTATTTTGAAAAGAAGAGTTAAATTCAGTTTCAAATTCCAAGCTTCCTTTACCTTGGTCCATGTGTACTCTGCATTTGGAAATGATGTGCAGCGAATTGTCACATTTTCTCCATTATGAACTTCAACAGTGCCATTCACATCACATGTTATTTTAATGTCATCTATTGAGGAAAGCATGAGATTAATTAGATTTGGTGATCACACAAAAAACGTAAAAAAAAAAAGCAACCGACTGACTGATGTGAAAAGCACATTTTGTAATATGTCTTCTGCCACTGTTGTGATCACAACATCCCTTCAGCTGAACAAAAGAGTGTGTTGTGTTGTGTGTTATGAGACAAGTAATATGCAAAAGAAAACTGTGTCTTTTAGCAAAGCTCCTAGATGTGTTCTTTTCGTTCTTACTTGGATTTGCTGAGCGATAAATAGCTGCTGAGATTGGCAGAGACTGAGTGCTCTGATGCAACCTCAAGTAATGTGAAATATATGCAATACAGCATTAGATAGAA